GGAGGAGGAGGAGGAGGAGGAGGAGGAGGAGGAGGAGGAGGACTGTAGGGTCTTTGGTGCTCTCTGAGCTTGGTGGTTTTCTGGCAGACGTTTCAGGACCCAGCTAGAGAACTTCATCAGGACTGGAAGGGTGGGGGTTTGCAGAAAGGAAGAGGACTTTGGAGTCCAACCCTAAAGGGTACTTACTGCTTTCCACTCATTATTTGGGGCAATTTTAAAGTTCATTCAATGGGTTGGTGAATTCGGGGTCTTCTATTCTCTTTTCAAGGATAGTGGAGATCTTTTTTTTAAATGATTTTTCTTCCATTTGCAAGGTTGCAAAAGACTATGGGACCGGCTTCTGTGTTGGCCTGATGCAAATCTTGGAGAGTCGTTTTCCTTCAACTGTCCAGGCATCATTTTCCACTTCACAAAGGAATCAGGTGAGAAACACCTTCTTTCTTTCCATCTTCCGTCTTCTTTCCTCTTCCTTCCTTCCTTCCTTCCTTCCTTCCTTCCTTCCTTCCTTCCTTCCTTCATTCTTGCCTCCCTTCATTCATTCATTCATTCATTCATTCATTCATTCATTCATTCATTCATTCTTGCCTCCCTTCATTCATCCATTAATTCATCCATCCATTCATTCATTCATTCTTGCCTCCCTTCATTCATCCATTCATTCCAGTGGTGGGATTTAAAATTTTTTACTACGGGTTCTGTGGGCATGGCTTGGTGGGTGTTGCCGAGGAAGGATACTGTAAAATCTCCAGTCAGAGGTGGCATTTGCCAGTTCTCCAAACTACTCAAAATCTCCGCTACCGGTTCTCCAGAACAGGTCAGATCTGCTGAATACCACCTCTGATTCATTCATTCATTCATTCATTCATTCATTCATTCATTCATTCATTCATTCATTCATTCATTCATTCTTGCCTCTCTTCATTCATTCATTCATTCATTCATTCATTCATTCATTCATTCTTGCGTCCCTCTCTCCCTCCCTCCCTTCATTCATTCATTTATTCTTGCCTTCATTCATTCATTGCCTCCCTCCTTTCATTAATTAATTAATTCTTGCCTCCCTTCATTCATTCATTCATTCATTCTTGCCTCCCTCCTTCTCTCCCTCCCTCCCTTCTGGGTTTTGGTTCATTTTAGCTTTGATCCAAACCCATGTAATTATTTTCTAGTCTTTGACATTTGTTTCCTTAGTCCTCAACTTACAACTACAACTGAGCCCAACATTTCTGTTGCTAATCAAGACACTTGTTAAGTAAATTTTGTCCCATTTAACTACCTTGTTAAGTGACTCACTGCAGTTGTTAAGTTAGTAACTCAGTTGTAAAGTGGATCTAGCTTCCCCCATCGACTCTGCTTGTTGGAAAGTCGCAAAAGGGGATCACATGACCCTGGGACACTGCAACCGTCATAACTATGAGTCAGTTGCCAAGCATCTGAATTTTGATCAGGTGACCATGGAGATGCTGCAATGGTCATAAGTGTGAAAAATGGTCATAAGTCACTTTTTAAAAATAAATTGAAGCAGTCACTAAATGAATGGTTGTAAGTCAAGAACTAAGTGTATATGTTCCATGGAAAAGCATGCCTCAGTTTTCACACTTTTTGTCAGAATTAATTGTGCTTACAGGTACTCCCACAACTTATAACCTCAACCCATCATAATTTCCTATGCATTATTATTAAGTGAACTCTGGCTGATTTCTTTTTGCCACTGTTGTTAAGCGAACTGCAATTCTTAATTAAATGGTCATTAAGCGAATCCTGCCTCCCACACTTTGCTTGTGGGAAGATTGCAAGTGGTTATCATGTGTGACCCCTGGGGCACTGCAACCATCATATAAGCACCCGAATTTTCAACACATGACCGTGGAGATGTTGGGAAAGTTGTAATTATGAGGACTTTTTTCAGTGCTGTTGTAACTTCGAATGATCCTTAAATGAATGGTTGTAAATTGAGGTTAGTTCAATTTGGTTAGTTTTCACACCTCACAACAAGCCACAATAAATCACAATGGGTGTATGTGTGTGTTTCACACTCCAAAAAGATCAGGCAAGGATAAAAAATTGAATGTTGTTCTTTACACACATTTAAACTCAATACGGTTAGACTAAACCTTGATTTTTACCTCAGTTGAACAGGATTTTTGGTTCCAACAGATAAATCTTCATTCCCCCTTAATAGACACCATGCCTTCTTTCTAAAGTGGCCCAATTAACATAATCTCTGCCATTTGATGAAATTGATGGATGTAATTGACATAATTAGGTGGGTTCAGGTAAATTTATGTCATCGATGTCGTTCGCACTCGGCAAGTGATGTGAATTTCGGCATATGACATCAATTATTCAGATAAACAGGCCCCAATGGAAGAGTTTTACACAAATGGTATAATTCTGGCAATTATTCACATTTGGATTTAATGAACATACCTTTAGTTATTGATTTATTAGACTGGTTTGCCAGCCCTCTGACCAAGAGCTGATGCTGGGCAGCTTAAGAACGAGACTAAAAAATAAATTTCCTGGCCTTGGGCTGTCAAATCAAGAACAAAAAAACAACAGAAGCATTCCCAGGTATCAAGCAGAGGTGGGTATTCAGCAGGTTCTGACCAGTTCTGGAGAACCAGGAGCGGAAAGTTTGAGTAGTTCGGAGAACCGGCCAATCCCACCTCTGACTGCCTCCACCCCCATCTATTCTCCGCCTCCCATTGAGTCCCAGGTGATTGGCTGGGTCTCCTTTGGTTGCCCTGCACAGGAGAACAGAGCTGGAAAGCAGGTGAGTGGGGTGGGGAGGGAATGAGGATTTTGCAGTATCCTTCCCCCTGCCATGCCCAGCAAGTCATGCTTAGCAAGCCACACCCAGCAAGCCACACCCAGCAAGCCACACCCAGCAAGCCATGCCCACCAAGCCACACCACGCCCACCAAGTCACACCCACAGAACCAGTAGGAAAAAAAAATTTGAATCCCACCACTGGTATCAAATATCCCTTGGATTACACAAGTATCTCTTCGATTATTTTAAAATAATAATATGGCTCTAGGACACCGCGGTCAAAATTTGATGGGGTGTGGCGGCGTCTGATATTTAAATCACACTTAAGGTGTGGTCTTTAATGGAGTTGCATCTATATGGAGGGAAGTATGCAGTGTGGGGTACCCCAAGGTTCTCTCTGTCTTACGCCCAGGACTCTTCAACATCTTCATCAAGGTAATTAGTACAGCAGGGCAGGAGCAGGAATTCCAGGACTTGAAGATAACTCAACATGGTTGGGAAGACGCCAGGAACACAGACAATCAAAGTCAATAGAAGACAAAGTCAATAGAAACTCATGTTTGCTCCCATCAGCGGCTGCACTCAGCATGCATTTCTTTTAAACCCTCTTCCCAGCTGTGGTTAATGAAGGGAATCAGGGCCCTTTCTTCCCCCGTAAGCCACACAACCTATGTTGCTCTCTTCTCCATTTCTCCCTGCGTGCCCTAGGATGAAGAAGGGGTGGGCCTGGGTCGTCCTCTGAACTCCCTCTCCCTTGTTCTACCTCTTCCCTGCTCTGCCCAGCCGGACTTTGCCCTTTTCCAGACTTCTCCACAGCCAATGGAGCCACACTCCCACTCCCTGTCAGCTGTCCGGTTTCCTCCTCGGATTCAGACACACGGTTCTTAAGTGAATTTGGCTTCCCCCGTTGACTTTGATTGTCAGAAGGTCATAAAAGAGGAATCACATGACCCCAGGACTCTGTAACCGTCATAAATGTGAGTCAGTTGCCAAGCATCTGAATTTTGATCATGTGACTGTGAGGTTGCTACAACAGTGGTAGGTGTGAAAAACGGCCCTAAGTCACTTTTTTCGGTGCCATTGTAAATCCAAATAGTCACTAAATGAATTCTTTGTAAACCCAGGACTACCTGTATAGCTTACAGTTAAGACACACCTTTTTTTTGCTCCTTGTTTGGACTACATCAAAGGGCTAATACCCTGAGTCACTGGCCCCGGGGCCCCCGTCACTTGGATCAATCTAATATTGCTGATTTTAATTTTTCATAGGTAAAGTGAAGCGAAGTTGCACCGACCAAGGCTGGTCTGACCCATCTCCGCCGTATTCGGAAGCTTGTTCGATAGAAGATGACATCTCTCTGGATGAAGTGAGTGTGGGGGAATGGGAGATGAAGACCGAAACCCCACAGGTGTAGGGGAAACGTTTGATGCCTCTTAGGCTAAATTACGAGAGGAATTCTATCTCTGCCTTTCTATCATCCATCTAATCCTCTCTCTCCCTCTCTTTCATCTCTCTCTATCTACCTAGTTGTCTGTTTGTCTATCATTTCTCTGTTATTTACATCTATTTTTGATCTCCTCCCCTCCTCTGTGTGTGTGTGTGTGTGTGCGTGTGTGGGTGTGTATAGCATGTGTGTGTGTGTATATATCTGTGTGGGTGGGTGGTTGTATACAGTATATATATGTATATGTTTTCTTAAGTTTTCGCGGGTACTTCCATGTATGGTATTCAGCTTTGTTCAGGTATTTTCCCAGGTCATTATAGTTGTGCTTTTAAAGTTGTAGCAATGTTTTGGCAGAATCTCATCGTCTATGTTCGTCTGTGATATATATATATATATATCCTCAGGCTGGTGCTTTTGGCTTCATGCCAGTGAAAGCAGTATGTGATCGGAGCTGCCGTCTCTCTATAAATACTGGTGGTGGGGGCTGGTGTGCTGGGCTGGTTGGCTGCACTGCTGCCTCTTGATTGGTTGATGGAGCTGATGTTGGTATAATGGGCTGTGTGATGGCCTTGTGAGTTTTGTTGTGGAGATATCCTGGCTCTTGTGCTGTAATCTCCTGGGTTGTTTGTTTTGTAGTGATCTTTTTTCCATTAGCTTGCACTGGCACGAAGCCGAAAGCACCAGCCTGAGGATGGCAAGTGGGACCTCGCTGAAATGTCGCCAAGATACTCTTAATCTTACATGGGAAAAGACCGAACACACCTAAACCTACATACCTGTACCCGTGAAAATCTACATACATACATACATACATACATACATATATTCCTTCTACCTATCTATCCATCCATCAATCCTCTCTACCATCAATGTATCCATCTATCTATATATATCTATCTCTCCATTCATCCATCCATCCATCCATCTATCCATTATCTATCTACCTATCTACCTATCCATCCATCCATCCATCCATCCATCCATCAATCTATCCATTATCTATCTATCTATCTATCTATCTATCTATCTATCTATCTATCTAT